AAAAAAATAAGACTTGATTGACCATGTAGGAAAAAGGACTAGTTTTTATGATTTAAACATACTATTCTGATGTGTTTTTCTTGGCATTTTATTTTGACTTTTTTATAATCATGCTCAGTTTGGTAGATTTGGTTGGGACAGTCTTTATATCAACAGTTAATCAGACCTTTTTCCTTATAAAACTTTTCTTTAAATTCTTTATTTCAATCTTCTTTCTCATAACCATTATAGTTCACTTCTTCAACTCTCACTTCCCCAATTTTAATTGGAATGCTAGAGCCTTTTTGATAAAGAAAGTATTCGTTGCCATGTTTTTCAAAATAAAAATCACCACTTTCTAATTTCTTAATTAAATGTAATAATAATTCTGTGTTATTCATACTATTTTTTTAACTTTTAGCTATAAATTCCTTTAAAATTAAGTATTTTTTTTTGGTTTTGGGATGAAAATGTAGAATTTCATCCTGATGTGGGCAATAATAATACAATGTTAATTTTTTTCTTTTAATTGTTTTCTCTTTGTTGTCATATTTTTTATTTAGTAAAATTCTCTTTCTTTAAATCACTTACTTCATTTTTAACCAATAATACTTCTGAATGGTGCTGATTTTCGATGGCTGGATAATAAGGGGCAATAAACGTTCTCATTGGAATACAATTTTTACAAGGCACAAAAAAAGCAGATTTTCCTTTGTTTTCTTCATATCATTTCTTTTGTCTATCAATACATTCCTTACAAAATCACTTTGCTATCAAACTCCTACAAATATTAGGATTATCATCAATTACTAAATCAAAATCAGAAGCATGTTCTTTAATTCAGTCGGCTTTACTTTGCCCTTTTTCCTCGCTGTCAAAAGGGATTAGTTCTAATGAAACAAACTCGTGGATTTTGGAAGTGCAGAGATTTATATTATGTTTTTCTTTTAAGTTAAAAACATATTTAGCAAAGGTTTCTCTAAATATTTTCCTCTTTCTATCATCACCATTAGCAAACTTTCTTTTATCGTAAGCAGATAAGAAAATTAATCGTTCTACTTTACCCTCTTTAATTAGTTTCAATAAATCCTCGGCAATACTTAAAAAAGGTGCTTCTTCATAGAAGTCTGGGGAGTTTTTGATTTTGGGTTGTTTTTCTTTTACTCCCTCTCCGCAATGTTTCGTATCTAGCTTGGAACCATAAAGAAAGTATTCGATTCCTATTTTGTTTCCTAGCCTATTTTCATCATTTGTCTTTTTGTCTCAAAAATCAAATGTCATAAATCTTTCGAAGTCTAGTTTTGCCAAATCCTCGTGTTCGTATTTTCTATTTTCGTTTAAATATTTTCACAGAGCATAAGGCTCACAAGGTTGAATTACTTCATCCCAACCACAGATGATTTTTAGTTTTTTGGGCGTGTTTTTAAATTGGTCATAGAGACTGGTTATTGTTGTTTTGTTAGACATATTTTTTAACATGGGTTTTCATCCCAACTCAAACAATCTTCATAATCCTTTAATCATTTCTGTCATTCAGGAGTTTTTTTGATAGTATTGAGGTCTTTTTCTCCTCTATATTTTTTTCACACTTCCTCTTTTGCTAAAAGTTTTTCATATCTCCTTTTTCAATCGTTGGGGTATTTCTCTTCATCTTCCTCATTATAAAAATAGAACCATTTATAAGGGATAATGGCTGGGTATCTTATCTTTTCCTCTGCTTTCCTATCCTCCATCATGGGTTTTTCATAGAGAAAGCAATCTAAACAAGTAGGAACCTTTTCTCTTTCACCAGAAGGGTAAATACTACCATTATCTATTATTTGAGTATTAAACCAACTATACCCCAATAGTTTTTTTGCTCCCTCATCCTTGCCACACTTTATGCTTTTACATTTTCCAATTGGGTATTTAAATCTCTTGTTTTGTTCGTATAAACCACTATTTATTGTTTTGTTATTTTCTGTCATTTCTTAAATCGTATTCTATTTGTTCTCTAATATTTTTGCCCACAATAAATTGTTTCGCTAAATCCTTATTCTCTAAAATTTCAGGATGGGTAAGTTGTTGATAATAGATGGTGTTGCCAAATTTAACAAAAACACAATTATGCTCTTTGTCTATTCGATAAGTTTCTAGTATCTTTTCAATACAGAATTCTATTCATTGTTGATTAACTTTTTCTGCCGTTATTCTTTCTGACATATTTTCTTTATTCGCAGTCATTTTCTAATAATTCTTTTTCAGTTTCTAATTCTTTATCTTTTAGGGCTTCGCCATAATCAGCGAAAATATTCTCTTTGCTTTTGGTTTTGATATATTCTAGTAAGTTTTTTGTTTTTTTGGCCATTATTTATTACTTTTAGTTATAAAATATGCAACGAAAATAAGAGAAATTATTTTTAAAAATCCTAAGGCAATTGATATTCACATTAATTTCTTATTTGTTTTTCTTAAACTTTGTAATTGTTCTTGTAAGTATGAAGAATTTCTCCAGTCTCTGGTCTCTGCATCTTTTAAAAAACCATACCCTGCATCAGTTTCTATTTCGTAAAAGGTTTTAACATTATTGTCGCTACAATCCTGTTCAAATTTTTTTATTGCTTTTATTTCTTCTTCGGTTAGTTTTCTATTCATGAGACTATTTATTATTTTTTAAAGAAATTGAAAGGTGTTGGGGGGGGGGGGGATGAAATTCATAATTTGCTGTAATCTTGATAAAGTTCTTCGTAAGAATTATGGATATATCTAGCAGTAGTATCCAATCGACTATGCCCTAACACTTTCTGAATAGTAGTTAATCTCACTTGCTTATTGTTACTATTAGTAGCAAGACTGCGACGAAAGGTATGAGGGCTAATCTGTTTGTCAATACCTGCTTTTTTAGTTCTCCTGTAACAAATTTTTCTAATTCAGACATCACTTATTTTCTCACCCTGATAGTTTTTGAACAAGTAATCAGAACCTCCGTTGAAATGCCTTGCTAAAAAGCCAGGAAGAGGAATATATCTGATTTTATTACCTTTCCCGTGTATTCTTTAATTAGTTCACTAACTCTTATTCCGGTATAGAACAAGAAGTCCAATATTAAATTATTTCGCTGATTAATGGCAGAACTAGCTCTAGTTTTTGCTTGCTTTAGTTGCTCCAATTCAGTCTCGGTAATTGTATCGAAAAATTTCTGTTGAACGGTCGGAATAATTCTGTTAATTAATTTCCATTCAATTTCTACTTTTTTGAATTTGGCATAAGAAATTAAAGCGCAACGCTGTAGGCATAAACTAGCCGGTTCATACTTCATCAAATTTTTTTTAAAAAATTCAACGATTTCGGTAGTGTTTAATTCGCTTTCTCCATATATTCGTAGACCTCAACTGTATTCTCTAATAGTTTGTGAGGATAAATTTCTTCTTTCTAATCATTCTTGGTATTCTTTTAGATTTATTACATTTACCATAATTTAATTTTATATACACTTTTACATAATAACCAGTAATATATAATAGAGTGAAAAGCAAAAAATATATATAAAAAAGAAATTGAAAAAATAACCGCACTTTTTAGTAAATTATTAGAAAGAAGAAATTATCTCTTTCCGCTTCCTCTTCCTCTTTTATTTCTAATTAACAACAATATCTCATCAAATTTCTCAGCTTTATCTTTTGGTAATTTTTCCAATTCCTGTATTCTCTTTTTTAAATAATAATACTTGTAATAAACTCTAAAATATCCTTTGTGTTTTAAGTGTTGTTTTTTGCTCTTTTTTTGCAAGTCTTCCTCAGTAAAATATATCCGCTGACGCACCATTATTAATAATTTTTAGAGATTTTTTATTACCAAAAGTGAGACCCCTTGACTTCAAAAAACATATAAAATAAATTAATAAGAGTTATTGATGAATTAATTTGGATTAGTTTTTGAGAAAAACATTAGAAATATTTACCGTGTTTTTTGAATTGTATTTTTTTTGAATAAGGATTACGATAATAAACTTTAACAAAACATTTTTTATCACCTTTTTTGTACTGACCAATTTTGCCGATAACTTCCGGTTGTCAGGGAATATAAACGGAAACACTAATAACTTGTTCTTCCAGATAAACGATAAAAAGGGTGGTTTTGGAACTAACTTCTTGTCCTTCTTCTACTTCACATTGTAATATTTTGTCCAACGGCATCGGATTCTTTCTATCAACTTGGATATCTATTAATATTTGTAATCCTTCTTTATTAGTAATTTGCATTGCATAATTAGGGTATATTTTGCTAATAACCCCTTTGAATGGACTTTTGACTTTCCAACCCTTTAAATCGCAAAAATAGTAGCCTTTTCCCAGCAATGATTTTTCATTCTTTTTGTGAATTCGACAACTAACTGGTGGGGCAAGTTCTACCGATCACCAACCAATTAACCAAAGAAAAAATTTTTTTAATTTTGCCCAATCAATTTTGAACTTCATATAACTAAATTTTTAACTCTTTTAATCACTTTTCAAAACTAGC